GATTCAGATTTGGGAGATTGGATTTGAACCCTTCGGCGGTCCATACTGTTCTGTAAGCTGGTAGGTCAGCCGGATCAAAAACCGATTCCCCTATATTCATCCCCGCAATGTCTTTTACCTGAACATCTCTTACATTTGTATATAATTTGAATGAGGAAAACTCTGTAAAAATATCATTAAAAAACGAAAGGGCCTCTACAATATAAAACTTATATACTTCCCCTTATCCAACCGTCCATTCTGAGTGGAGGGCTAAGATTGCCCCAATCACAATGTCACATCTCTATACTATTTTATTTTTAATTTTTTTCTATAAACTATTTTGACACCAAATTTTGGACATCCAATCCTCTATTAAACTCGCACTAGCAAAAAATAAAAAAATAAAAATTCCAATAAAATAAAATAACCAAAATACCTTTGAAAGGTTTAAGGGGTATTTTGATCATTATATTTTATCAAAAAATTATTTTTAATGCGCCCACATACCAAATTTCATATTCATAAAATTTGTATAAAAATAACTAAAAATAATATACTTTAAGACGTCGGATTTAAGATCAAATGATGAGTGGCTCTTTTGATCAAAATTGAACACCTGGATGGTAGGGGAAGCATAGATCTTCTATGCTGTAAGGGAAGTATAAAAACCTTATCCAAAACAAAAAATGCAGGGACTCAGGGGTTCGGGACCCGATTGAATCCAATTCGATTTGGTGATTCTTCAAAAGATCTCCGATTTTAAGACCTAGATTTGGCATAAGTGGAACGCATTATATTTCGCTCTGGGTCACCGCCTTTTGAAGAAAAAAAAAGTTTATACAACGTTGCAACCTTATACTGTAGAGCTACGGATGCATCTCAAAAATCCAACATAAAAGGTTGCTTTAATGTTGAAAAACCATTTGATTGATCATCTCGACATAGAGATATATGACTATGAAAAATAAAAAGATTTTGAGTTTCAGAAATAGTGTATCTTACAACATATTATCTACACCATCCATTTTCAAGAATTTCATATATTTATAGATGTACTTGATTTTAACCATTTTTTAAATTTATAATTAGATATAAAAATAGATTTTGAGATAATCCTAAAAATATTTTACATCAAAATTATATATCATCATAAAATTTGAAGGTGCACCTTACTTCTACATCTACGGATGCATCTGTATGCCAATTGGACCCTTTAAAGAAAGATGCAAGAAAAGTAGAACAACTAAACCTTTGGTGCTCCGTCCTAGGGATACGGTTAGTTTCGTGCAGTGTTCAAAACAACGGATTCGCCCGTCTAGTCGGTCTTGGCCCGATATGATTAGTCCAACCGATTCCAACTAGATTGGCTGAGTAGTGCGCTGATTTTTTCTTTAAAATGCATTTTTGGTAAAAAATCTCAAAAAACTCAAAAAATTCCAAAAATATCCCAAAAAATTGTAAAAAAAATATTTAAATTTACATATATTTTTTTTGTATATTGTCACATAAAAAAGAAAAAAAAATATTATAAGCATAATTGGCTTTCAGAGAAAATGATTAGGCACCTGAAGCAATACATTTTCAGTGATCAATATATAATAAATATATATTATGTATAATATGTAATCCATATATATTATATAATATAAATTACTTTAAAATAAATATAAATATATAATATAATATTATAAAATATTATAATATTTCAACTCAAGACCATGTTTGTTTTTCGATATTTGGGAGTTCAATTAAAAATGTAGGTAAAATATAAATTTGTTCGTCTGTTTGTAAAAATTTTGATAAATTTCTATCTCTCTCACATATGTGCCTATCTGTATGTCTATGTGCCCCTCAACGGGTTGATGGTATAGTATTATATTAAAGATCAAATCAAATGAACAAAAAATAAATTTTATATCCCGCGAGGTGAGGGACCTACGGGCTTGGCACCTTGTCGAGCCTGATCAACTATGGTGCGTCTGAGTCAACTCGCCCAAAGCGGCAAACCCTGCAATTAGCAAATAAAAAATTTGTACTCATATATAAAGTTATAAGTAGAGAAATAGAAGAAAAAAAAATGTTTCACGTGGCCTAGACCACATTTTTACAATATGCGTTCCAGAAGTATAAAATGGTCCAGAGCTATAAAGCGTCGATCTTAAAGATTGATGCAAATAGGTAGTCCATCTAAAAATAAGTGTAACTAAGGGTCCAAATATTTTTTTAATATAATTATTATTTCTACTTTTTAAAATTATTACTTTTTTCATATTCATGATATCCATAAAAAATTAGGATCAAATTATATTTATTGACAAGCCCACATTTTTTACAATATGCAAACTGGCAACATAGAAACTGTGTCCATAGAAGAATAAGAAAAAGAAAAAAAATATAAAAAAATATAAAAAATTTGGTACGTGCCATCTTCTCATTGGGGCACACCTATAAAAATATTAACAATAATCTTTCGACAAAAATAATGACCAAAATACCCCTTGAAATTTTTAGAGGTATTTTGGTCATTTTATTTTATTGAAAATATGTTTTTTATATTTTTCATTAGTGCGAATTTAATAGAAGAATGAACGTCCAAAATTTGATGTCAAAATAGTTTATAGAAAAAATTAAAAATAAAATAGTATAGGACGTGACATTGTTATTGAGACAATGTTAACCTTCTATTAAAAATTGGACGGTTGGATAAAAGAGAGGATAGAACTTTTATGTTGTAGAAAAAACATAGAAAACTTTCTCTTAAAGAATTTTCCTCGAATTTTGGGACGAAAATTATACACCCCTAACCGTAACGACCGTATTTTGAGTGGTAGGGATGCTTATGACTTTCATATACCAAAAGTAATCACATAAAATCCCTTTCAGGTATTCTCTCTTCTATCCTAATATCAAATGCTAAAGCATCTTGATCATTCTACTTTTGCACTCCTGGGTTTTCTATTATAGAAAAAATAGAAAATGAAAAATCATCCCATATTTAGACAAAAGTATTAGCTCACCTACCCACACTAAGAAAAGAAGCCTTGTTTATTGAATATTTTCATCATGGTTACATCAAATTGAAGCAAAGATGTGGTTTTCATGAGCCTCATGACAATCTCATGTAAAAAATGTTGGAAATTCTCAAAGCATTCACAAAGGAATGCATAAAGCTCCAAAACAAGACCACCAAGTGGTGTGGAGACAGGTGCCATGGACCCAAGAAACCCAACAAGAGGTGAACCCAAAGCATTCAAAAAGTAGGAGCAAAGCTTAAACATGGTCCATTGCCAGAGTGAAAACATTGTTAAATATAGTATTTGTTACTTAACTATCCAACCCACATGAGATGCAAATATAGTGTGAATGATTGGAGCATACTTCCCCACTAACTTTCATCAATCAAATTGGACCTGCTTCTTGTCTAGCCATGTTGCCTAAAGTGAGAAAGAGAGAGAGAGGCATACTTCCCCACCAGCTCTCATCAATGAAATTGAACCAGCCTCATGTCCAGCCATGTTGCCTAAAATGAGAGAGAGAGAGAGAGGAGCACTTCCCCACTAGCTTTCATCAATGAAACTGGACCTTCTTCATGTCTAGCCATGTCTAGAGAGAGAGAGAGAGAGAGAGAGAGAGAGAGATCCTCCTTTTCTCTTACGGTCCCCTCAATGGTGTTTTTGTGGAGGCTTTATCTCCCATAATGGGGTGCATAATATCCACTCTTTTGAGTTTCACAAAACATTGTGAACTCCCCTCCATTAAGAAAAACTGTCCACTTTCCACGCTTTTCATTTCCCACTAAAGGCAGCAAAAGCATGGACCATCTTTCTTAGCTTTATAATTGTCCCCATATGAACATGTTTAACCATGGAAATTATTAATAGCACGTGACCTCTCTCTTTCTCTCTCTCTGCCCCATATAGACATTTTTAACCTTTGAAATTGATGAGAGCATGTGACCGCTCTCTCACACACACACACAGTATAAATGTTCCATGGGTTATGGGCATAGCAATTATTTTAGAACCCCACTGAAGAGAAAATTATTTTAGTAATGCTTCACTATCTATGTTGTATCTTGGCATATATTCGAACTTGCCTGGAGAATCAATACTTTTCAGGAGTGGCATCCATCATTCCCCCTCCCTCCTTTCAGAACTCCCTAACCCCACTCACAATCAATTGAAACCCACACACTCTCTCTCTAGAACCCACTACTCCATTTTAAAGAGTCTTCTCTCTCTCTAGAACCCCACTGCTCCATTTTAAAGAGTCTTCTCTCTCTCTCTAGAACCCCACTACTCCATTTTAAAGAGTCTTCTCTCTCACTCTAGAACCCCACTACTCCATTTTAAAGAGTCTTCTCTCTCACTCTAAAACCCCACTACTCCATTTCACAAAGCCCTCTCTCTCTCTCTCTCTCTCTCTCTCTCTACTACTACTACTACTACTACTACTACTACTACTACTCTACTACTCTACTACTCTACTACTAC